ATTGTGCAACCATTGCCATGCTGCCTGTGTCCCTCTGCTTGCATTTTGTCATGTTTGCATCTTGACAACGACAACAGTATCGTCCCACGTATGCAAGGGGGGCAGCTGATAGGAGTCCGTATCCCTTACAGGTTTTACTTGGAGTTTTATAGGAGCAATTTGTGTGTAGCACCACGGAGAGCTCTTATGAATCCCACAAGAAACCATGTGCTGTGCCGCGATTCTGATGGACCCTTTGCCTGTTCTTGTTCCAGACAGTCACTCTGCATCGCATCACCCCTACTCCACGGATTGCTGGACACCTCCCCACCCTTCTCTGGGGTCCCTATTGATGAACCGCCAAGCAAGGCCTGGTTGGACTTACCCCATTGGTACGAGGACTTGTAGGAGAATCCCAGTTTCGGGGGGCTGTGTGGGGAGGCCAGGGCTGGGTTTGTTTCATTTGTGGAATCCAAAGCCTCCCCTCCTATCATAATCAATATATACATTCATATATTATATGTATCTACACACACTCACACCTGCACACATCTGCCCATGACAAGGGTCCATTCCATGCCTAAAGACTGAGGATGCGCCGTTATGTCACGAATGCTGTTTGTGCATTCATGTCACGCATAAATGTATTTATGTTGTAAAGCTATTTATACATTGTTTATAAAGAGATATTTATAAAAATTTTATTTATGTAACTAAATGAAAAGGAGTCTAGCATTGTAACTTTCCCCCATCCTGAATAGTTGGAAAACCGAAGAAAGAAAGAAACACTCCATTCCATGTACAATTTGTAACCTGTCTTTCTTTTATCGGATGCATTCCTTCCTGTGCAGGAGCTGTTTGTTTGAAAAAGTCAGGGCATCACCACGGAGCCAAAGAGGTCAGGATCCCTCCCTGCGCGTGTTTGGGGGTGCATCCCTCGGCCTTCCTACCAGTGCAACTCTCAATGCTTCTTCTCCCCCAGCCCCTATCAGGGGTCCTTAGTGGGAGGCCGTTTGCTGCCTCGCCTGAGCTTTCCCTGTCTTATTAAATGAAGCCAACGGCCAAAGTGCTTCCTTGGTTTTAACAGGAAGAGGAAAAACCGCTTTTCCGAGAATTAGCTGGAGGGAGGAAGCAGAGTCCATCCAGCCCAGGACCCTTCCCCCCCACCCCACCCCCCGCAGGTGATTTTCAGCAGGGGGCACATTTAGCAAGTGAACCGAGGAATCGTTCGATTCACTTGCAGAGGAGAGGAATCGCTTGGCAAGCACCTCAGCCCAGTCTTCCAGGCCTGTAGGAGACCCCGGATCTTGCCCAACCCCTGCTTGATGCAGGAAATCCAGATCTAGGATATCCCAATGGGTTGGCCTCCCAGGCTTTGCCTGAAGTCCAGCAGCAAGGAAGAGCTGCAGCGATCCCGCCCATGAGTTTTCCCCTTGTCAACCACTCTCTCCATCACGAGGAGTCGCTTAATCGGTTCCCGCTGGAAAATGGAAGCCCCTTTCAGAGAATTCGCCTTGCTACGCCTCTGTATCTCTTAGCAATAGCAACGCCATGGATGCTGGCCTCATGCAGAACGTCTCCCAAATCATCTTTATTATTCTTGAATCGATGCATTTACTGCTTGCCATCTTTTTATCTCTTAAGTGGTTTATGGTGAAATTAAAATATATTAAAAACCCACAAAATCAATGGACCCCATAAAATACAGAGTATTGCGACTGGAGAACACGGCACTAATATGTTACAGCCAAGATGCGTGAGAACCACCCATGAAAGTAACACATTTTAGAGCCAAAATTCTAGAGGCTCAGTGTATTATCGTCACATTGCATTTTCATCCCACATACGTTCTCTTCCACTCCATTTTTATTCTGGCAGCAGCAGCCCTGTGAGGTAGCGGGTAAGCTGAGAAGCTGTGAATAACATATGCGACGATTCCAACTATGATTTGTCCCACTGAAAGGGACTCTCTGACCTCTGGGAATCTTTTGTCCAAATTCACGAGATTTACCAGCCGATGCATTAAGCACATGCTCCAGGCCTCAGGTTTTAAGGCCTTAATCTTTGCAAAGTTGGCCCCCACCTGACCACACCCACCTGAGCCCCCCCCCCCACATAAAATGCACAATGCGGAGAATATCCTTATGCGGAACAAGCCCTTGCAATAAAAACGGCCTAGGAGGGGGTCTTGCGCACCCGTTGATGCATTGCTGGTCACAAAAGGTTCCAGCCAGCAGAATGCACGAGGGACGGCCTGGGACTGGTTGGCTTGGTGCCCCTTAGTGGGGGAGGGGGCACAGCTGTGGGGAGAGCTCCATCTGTCATATGAGGGGGGCGCCCACGCCTACATCTGGACTTGCTTACCCCCACCCTGCCGCCTTCCTCAGCGGGGTCCCTACCACACACCTCAGGCGGCTGCGCACACACCGGGGGGCTGAGGTCCGCCTCACCATGGAGTTTGCTGAACTAGTGGACGTCTCTACCCGTTTGCCCCCAGCAGCTGACAGTCGGACGGTTCCAGGGCTGTTGGGCGGCTCCCCTGCCCCAGGGGCAAACTGAAGGGCCTTCACCAGAAGCTGTGTTTGTGGCAGAAAGCGCTTGTGCCTGGAAGGAGGTGGGTTTCGGGGAAGCGGGTTGAGTCCCCCCAGGGCCTGAACCTGGCCTTGGAGAGCTTCTCCATGGGGGACATGGGCCCCGGGCTGCTAGAGAGCCAACGCCCCTGCGTCGTGCCCAGTCCAGGTGCTTCCCGGGGGGGCTGAGGGGTCCTCCCAGCAAGGGCAAAGAGCAGCAGTTGGTCTCTCATGCTGCAGGAGGGGCAAAGACAGAAAAGGGGCAAGAAGGCATGAGGGGCGTGCGTGGGAGGCATCCTTCTTGGGGTGCCACTGAGCTGTACCCCGCTGCAGGTAGTGAACCCATGGCAAAGCTATAGCAGGGAGCCACAATGGAGCGTTATTTCAGAAGCCGCCGCCTGCAACTGGCCACTTCAGGGCAGGAGGGAGGAGGCCGTCCCTGTGAGCACACCTCCCGCACGCAATGCGTTTTCCACACTCTTCGAGGGCATTACCTGCCTCCAGTGGGAGAGGCAAGACAGGCGAGTGATGCCTCTGGCAAGATCTAGCTGCAGCAGGGCGGGGGGTGGGCTTGAGATGCGGGCCCTTCCCCAGAGCTCCATCACACGTGCTGTGGTGCAAGGCGGGAAGGGCGCATGCCCCCCCAGGGGTCAGAGCCGGGGGCAAGCTGGCTGCTCAGCCCCACCGGGCTCATCCTGACACCCCAGTGAGGCCACCCTGATGGCCATGCAACATGGCGGGTGACAGGAGCCCAACTCATGACTGCTCGGGATGACGAGTTGCAGGAGCAGGTGACCCTGGTGTGCTCCGGCATATGAGGGCTCGTCTCGTCTTCCACCTGGCTTCTTCAGATGCGATGGCTTATGAGGCGGGGCTTCGATGCCCACAATGCAGGAGTGTGGAGCCTCATGCGGCCTGCGAGGGTTCAGAGAAGCCCTGGGGAGCTGCAGGGCAATGGTGGGAGGAGCCAAGGCAAAGGGGGTGTGGCTAAAGCACCAGCACATTTTTGCTTCCAGCTCTCCTTGAAGATATTTAGAACTTGCTCATTTTTGGAGGGCGACAACCTAATGGAGATATACTGCCACACGACCTCTGGATCTTTTGCTTATAGCCAATACGGATGCCTTTGTTTTTTGTAAGATCTAAGCGAGGCATTTCAACTTTTAGGAAGGTCTGGGGGGGGGGGGGAAGCAGTACAAAAGCAGGGAAATTGCCAGACCACAAAGAGCACCAGATGTGACCAGGATAAGCGGGTGCAGCTCCCCGAGGAAGCTCAGGGCAATCCCAGATGGTTTGCGATCCCAGGCGAGTCCGATGGGGCCCAGAACTTCTCACCACTGCTTTAACAAGGGCACGGAAAGCAGAGGTCCAACAGGTGGATCTCCATGCCATGAGAAGCACCTCCTGTCATCCAGCAGGAGAAGGCCCAGTGGTCTGCAGGCGACATGCAGCTGCCGTCCTTCAGGCGGCTTTCATTGCTCTGGCCAGGAAGGTCCAGCGGGACCACCATCCAAGAACATCGGGGAGCCTCGATTCCCGCTCAGCCCAGGCACCATTCTGCCCACACGGCGGCCACTCGCTGCCTACAGGAAACCCACAGGGACACAAGCACAACGGCACCCCAACACCCATGTTCCGCATCATCCTGTTTCTCACAGATGCTGCTGGGAAGCTCCTCTCCTTCCAGGCTGTCGGCAGCGAGGCAGGCCCCTAGCGACGGCAGCAGCCGCTTCCTCGAGGCCGGCGGCAACACCTGCAGGTCCCAAGGGGAGCATCTGCGGAAAAGCGAGGCGGCCTCTGCCTGCAGACCAGCTGATGGGCAGTGACCGGCCGCCGGCCCCTTTCCTGCGCCCACAGAGGCCCCAGGCGTGGAGCGGGACACCTTCCTTGGGCCACCTCCTGGCCAGGGGTGGGAGCGTCCCCTTCACACACACCCTTGCTGCCCCGAGGGAAAGGGCTTGCGGGCGGCACGGAGCTGCTGATGCCAGAAGAGGCAGGTTCACCAACACCAACGGCAGCTCTCTGGGCTCTTCTGCTTCTGCGATCTTCAAGGATAACCCGCTCTTGTAACAACAGCCCCTCCTCGGTTTTTCTCCCCCTGCAAATGGGTGCTACTGTCTGAGCACGCATCCCCCTGAGCCTGGCACAGAAGGGCAGCCTAATTAGACGCGGCTGCCCACCCAAGGGACTCGCTTCTCCTCCCCCATCTCCTCCTCTGGGTATCGCCGAGCAATAAAAAGAGCGCAGATCCAGTCCAGAGCCGGGATGCACCACTGTGATATTCCGCTCTGAGTACCAGACTTCCTCATGGGGCGACCCCACCATGAACAGGGGCCCTGTGCCGTGCAGGTGTGATGCCTTAAGGAGGGGAACCTAAAACACCGATTTCCCACCCCACCACAGGAATCTCAATGCAAACGTCTTTTTTTAACAGAAGAGAAAACACAATCCTTCTGATCAAGTCACTTTTCAATTAATCTGTAACAAATATCAAATAAAAAAAGGCTGAATTGCTCAAGCATCCCAACAAAAAGGGGGGGGGGATCAAATACAACCAGCAAAGAGAGTCCAAGTTCTGACAGCCTGGTAGAGGCCAAAATGGGACACCTCTGCCGCCTCTCTGAGGGTTCTGGTGCAGCAGGCCAAGGCGGGGACCTCTTTTGCAGAGCTCACGTTCACCCAGGGAGGCTTGACTGTGTTACACTTCAGAAGTTTGGGGAGGGGAGAACCACGACCATGGAACACAGGGAGAACACGCCACTGCAGCAACCCCGCATTGTGTAAGAACAGCCCGGCAAGAGGAGGAGAAGCAAGGGGAGACTGAAATAGCAGCTTTGCCCCTTCCACTTCGCTCTGCCCGCAACCTCCTCTGCTTCCGAGCTGCAAGACACAAGCTTTACAAGCCAGCAGCCAAACTCCTGGGCTGGGACGGTCAGCAAAGCAGGGGGGCACGTAAACAGAGCCTGGCCCGAGCTCTGGCCCCCCCGGCGTGAGGTAGAGAGTTAAGATAAACACGGAAGGAACAGGGAAGAAATGAGGTGGCAGTGAACGGCCGTGGCCGGGGGCATCCCTTCCCTTCGGGGTGTGGCGGAGTCAGGCGCCCTCCCCAGCTCTCCAGCCGGAAGCCCAATCTTGCTGACCCACAACTTCGGGTGCCCCGTGACGCAGCCGGGCAAAAGGACGGCTGCCCCTTGCAAAAGGCTGGGAAGGCAGCTTCGGCCCCCCACGCAGAACGGCCCGGGAGTGGCCCCTTGCTCCGCTCCCCTGCCCCTAGTTTGAGAATAACCAACCGTGCCCATGAGTTCCGCATAAAACGCTCTGAGGCTCAAGGGTGCCAAGAAGGCCGGAAGCTTCCCACGCTGGTGGCAGTCAGGCTCCCCAGCCTCGGGGCCCCCCGGGCGGGCAGGACAGCTCCTCCCAGAAGCACGTGGGCCCCAGCAGCGCCCTCCCGCTGCTGCCGGGGGCACTAGTGGCGACTGGAGACCAGCCCTTTGACCTTGGACATCTTCTTGGTGGGCTGCCGCTGCTCGGCGTGCAGCGGGGCCTCCCGCTCGGCCAGCTGCTGCTCCATCTCCTGGGCCGAGGAGGACGCTGTCGCTTTCAACGTCTTCTTGATGTTGGTGACCTGCAGGGGAGGGGGAGGCGAGGGGAGGCGAGGGGAGAGGGCTCCTTGGTGAGGATGAAGCAGCAAGACAGATCCCATCCCTCGGACAGTCGCTCCCCAGCAGAGCCCTCGTTCATGTTCAGGAAGGCTGATCAGCTGGAAGGAGAGGCAACCACGGTGGCCTGACCAGGCCTTGCTTCACCTCCTTCCTTCGGTGGGAGACTTCAGGGAGACACGCTGCCTCCTGGGGCCTCCCCGGAACCTCTGGGAAGCCAGAAACCAAAGGACGGGCACACATGGCCCAGAGAAAATGAGGAAGACAATGGCACTGGCCTGGCCACCTAGTCCAGGATTGCCCCTGCGCCTTGGCAGCAGCTCATCGGCTGCATGCTGCCAGTCCTAGCTGGACAACCTGGGCCTTCTCTGGGAAAGCAGCTGCAGTGATCTATGAGCGCCAGCGCTCTCTTTCCCAGCCACCTCAACTCTGGGAAGAAAAGCCCAGCAGCTCCAGCCAGAGGCACACCAGGGACGCCTCGCCTCTGCACATTTAGGGAGCTTCCAAGAGGAGGAGGAGGAGGAGAGGACACATGATGTCTCCATTTCTTACAGGAAATTGCTTCTGCACGTGACGCACCAGCACCATGGCTGCTGGTGGTGCGACAGTCCGGGTGGTCCCCCAGGGCACCTTCTGGCCAATTCCTGGATCAGCAGCAAGCTTTGACCAGGCGATGACCCCGAAAGGAGCTCTTGTTCGGTTGAAGCCGGATCAACCGAGACTTGGCACAGAACCCTGGGATGTTAGACAACAGCTTGCGAGGAATGTGGAGGACTCGGTCTTTGTTTGGACACGCACAGAATCCTGTGTGCCACCAGACCCGTCGTCCCCCGCTCTTGCCCCAGTCAGAGGGCCCACAAACTTGCCCCAGTCAGAGGGCCCACAATTAAGCGCAAGAGGGAAGGGGGCTTTGGATACTCTCACAGAAGCAGTACCAGCCAGGTCTGAAAAATAGGGTACAAGGAGACCAAACGATAACAGAATCCACAGAAGAACAGAAAGTGCAGGAACAAGAGGAAATACAGCAAATGCCTCTGAACATTTTAGAGACGGATTATAAATATATAGACGCATTTGGCCACTGCATATTCTCTCTAGCTGTGGGGGCCGGGAAAAAGAGTAAGCAAGGGGGCTTCTTGCCCTTGGCAGCCCCTTCCTGGGTTGTCATCCTCCCTCATCCAGAGGGAAATGTCAAGCCATACAAGGCAGTGAGAACCCAAGGCCAAGGAAGATGAACCACCCCAAGGGCACAAACATATCCGTTTTCCAGGAAAAGTCACAACAGCAGGGGGAGATGAATTCTTTCCCATCCGCTTCTCCACTCCAATTTGCCCCCTCTCAGAATGGGAGCAGGAGGGAAAGGAGGGGTCACTGGAGTTTGGTTCCGTGCGTTTGCAGGCAGAGTGCTTCCACCTGAAACCGCTGGGGCAAAGCACAGGTTAGAGACGCAACCTGAGGAGGAGGAGGAGAACATAAGTCTTAAGGAAAGGGGTGAGTGGAGGACACGGGGCAAAGCTTTCGACAGACCACCTTTTCCCATCAGTGGTTCCAGCAGATCCACCTAACAATTCAGCCAGCCACTGCTAAAACTTCATGGATTCACTGCCACCTAGGGGCCAACAGACTAGTGGGAGCTCTCCTGAACAGAATTCTGACTGCAGGATTCAATTTAGATGCCCATACTTGGGCAGCCCAGAAGTCTTGCAGGCTTGTCAGAGAAATGGACAGGATTCGGCACAATAGTGGCCCTCTTGATGTTACTGGACTCCGACTCCCATCAGCTTCTGCCAGCATAGCCCCAAGACAGAAGCCGCATGTTTCCCATCCCTGATTTAGGGGAACCGAGGGAAGAGGGCAAGGGGAAGTCTTAAAGGGTTTGCCAAGGCATGTTTAAGAACAAGGACACCGAGCCCGTTCCTTGCTTTAACGAGCACAGTCGTCTGCTGCACCTGCGTACCTACCTCTGTCTCTACCTGCTGCTGGGTTCGGTTGTGGTTCTCTTTGCATTGGTTGGCTCTAAGCACCTGCTGCTCAATTCCTAACAGAACTGCTTCACACCCATCACACCTGCAAACACAACACTTGCGCGGTCAGCGTCAAGAGAGATGGCACGCGTCGGAGAAACGGCGGCTCTGCCGGAGCTGGGGAGCAGAGAAGCCTCGAAGTCCGGCGGCCAGCCAGGTGGGCTTACCATTCGTGAAGGGTTTTCACGACCTGGCGCATGTCCTTCCTCTGGATGTCCCGGCCGATGCAGAGGTCGACTTCCAGCACCTGGTTCCGCTGGTCCAGCTTCCCCTGGATGATGTCCGTGTAAACGGCTTCAATGATCAGGTCCTCCAGCTCCCGCAGGTTCCGCATGTCCAAGTCTTTCAGTAGCACCGAGTAGGGGATGCACTGGGGGAAAAGGGGCCCAGGAAGGAAGCCATCACTCCAGGGCCGCTCTAAGCAAACGCTGCTCCCCTTACAGGGTGCATCTGGGGACACCGTTCCCCCTTGAACAGGATATGCGTAGGCCAGCTTCCAAGTCTAATGGGGCCTGTTAAAGTGCCACTTCTCACATTGTGGTTCAGGGCCTTTGGCTTCAAGGAAGCTGTGCTTCGGGGTCTGGGGACCAAGAACCCTGGAAACAACCCCCTGAAGCAGGAAGGCAAGCAGCAGCAATGGGACCGTTTGCTGGAGGGAAGGGCTGCACAGCACCAGGCTGGCCCCGCTGCCTGGTATGGGAACCAGGCGGTGGCCAGGCTGAGCGCAAGAGTTTTAATACCACTTCGAGGCTGGCTGAGTGCAGCAGGACAGAAGCACCAGTCCAGAGATGGTGAGAGATCCCCAACAGGGTCCACGTTCAAAAAGGACCCGAAGCAGGACAGAGCTGAAATGCCGCGGCACAAGTGAGAGACATGGATGCACAGGAGCACCGCTGGGGCACAGCACCATTTCTGTCATTAACGGTGAACAGGATACACTCCCGCTGGTGCAAATTCCTGTACAAAACTGCCTGGGAGGCTTTGGAACTCCTTAAAACTATATCGCAGTTTTACTAGCTGGATCACCTCTTAGGGTTTTACTCATAACTAACATGCATTTTTAGTGATGCTACTAGTAACTGGAGCCCTTGCTGCACTCAGAACAGCATAATGGGGTGGCATGTTGCATTTTGTGGCCAAAATGGCTCGTGACTCCCTAGCAGCTGGTGCCTGATGCAAGGTGTGACGCTGGGGAATTGCAGCCTGGGAGAACAAAGGACTGTGGCGTGTGATTGGTGCTCGTCCCAGAGAGGGGAAGTGATTCAGAGACACACCTTCCAGTTTACCACCTGCTCTGTGTCCTTCCCCCACCATTAAAAATATCTGCCCGAGGGCACCAGGGTAGCACGCCCTGCGAGTCTCTTCCACAGTTCTTGGCTCCAAAGTGTGACGGGAGACAGTGGCACCGTTTCCCCAGTTCCCTGCATGCGCAAGCAGGTGCACTGCTGGTTTGCTGGAGACACTTCACAGAAACACTGATCTTTAAATGTCAATACTTTACCTTCATTCTGGAAGCTAAGCTGACAATCGTTAAGTGTTTCAACTTGTTCTTCTGGGCCCCTGTTAACTCTGGCAGGTTATTCTTGTTAGCTGCCCAAAAGATGAATTTAAGCAACGATGTCAGAAAATGGCCTTAAACTGAATTGCCAACATGGTTTGTTTAATCACGCACATTTGCAACTGGCATGCTGTTCCACTTCCTGCGGGCATTGGAAAATGGGGAGGTATGGGGCAGTCTGCAGAACCCCCACCCTGAAGAGAGCGCACAGCCCACCACTGGACTGGGCAACTATATCCATAACCAAAGAGGGAGGACAATGGGGTGAAGCTGGGACATTGCTTAAGCTACAACCGACACGGCTTGTGAAAAACTGATGCAAGAGGGGGCTTTGGTTTGCACACTCCCTTGCTCTTCTCCATATTTTTTAACAAAAGGGCGGGACACTGGGGGGCACAACACGGGGTGTTTACGGCCACAGACGTGGAGAGCAGGCAGGCATCCTTTGAAAGGCCGCATGCCAGGCAGGCACGGATCTTGCCCAGACAGCCTCCAAGGCATGTGCAGGTTTTCACTCCCTTTGCCTCAAGGATCCCTTCATGGTGCTTCATCAATAACACCATTCGAGATCACGCACGATACCCACCAAAGCTGCCACCTGTTTCCGTTATGACACAACCCCGGCTCTGCACCAATTACTGAGGAGGCTCTGAGCAGGAGCATCCCCCAAAACTAGCAGAAGTTGCATTCAGGAAAGAATGCGAAAAGAAAAAAGTTGGTCAATAGCACGTCCAAATAAAAGGAAGAGAAGTGGCCATGAAGCAACAGAGCTTAGAGATGGGTCAAAATGTTAGTAAAAATGGAACGGTGCGATCGCTGCATCGGACTCTGACTCCTCCTCTGTACCTGGATGACAAAAACACCCGCAGTCCTGCAGGAATGGGAGTAGGGAGAGCTCTGGCAGAGGACTGATGGTCGGGGGGGGGGGAGGTGCGAGGAGGGATGAAAGGGAGCAGAAACGGTAAAAAGCATCCCGTGAAAACTAGCGGAGTGGGAGGCGCTGGGATGAGCACACGTGAGAAAGGAAAGGGGAAGCCTTAGTGTACCTATCCTTCAATATTTTGTGCAAGTTACCTTGGGGACTGAAAGCAGGGATGGAAATCAAACAAGTGGAGAAATGTCTTGCTAAAAGCTCCTGTTTTGGAGCTAAGCTCTACCACAAAAGGGCAGGAATTCTTCCTGTAGGATCTCCCAAGAACTACCCTAAGACAAGAAGGAAATTGGCAAGCAGTGTGCGCACGCACACACACAGATGTACCCCCCCCCCATTAATCACATTCCCTACAATTCCAGGTGCCTCTTACCTACATAATCCGGGTACGTTCCATAGGCAAAAAGATTCAGCAATTGAAAATAAGCAGCATTAGGCCCTTCAGCAAGCTGCACGCAAAGAAGAGAAAGGAAAAAGCCATTGGAGTCCTACCGATCTATGGCAAACCAAGGGTAAGACTTTTACGGGGCTTACCAGAGTAATTATCACAGGACTGTTTAGGTCAAGCACACAGCCCTGGATCTTCCATGGAGGGAGATGCTTCAGTGCCAGTTCCCAGCATTCCAGGTCTGGAGCGAGCTTTCCGGGAATCCGGGCGCAGCCTCGTACTACACAGTAAACCCTTCCGGCATTTGGACCGGACAGGCTGGCAGGCTGTTGCGGGCCCAGCAAGGTCGGCGTGCGCATCGGGGGAAAGCTACGTTCGAAATGGATGCAGCACTGCTGAGCATAGCCTCCCCACTGCAAGGCCTCATAAATACAAGCCGGGACACCAACACCCCCAAGTGACCTGGCCTGGAAGAGCCAAGACCAAAGGCAAGGCAAAAAGCAGGGCCTAGGGGCCCACGAGAAGGTATGCGAGGATTTTACCGCCACTTCCTATGTCTTTCATTTTTTTTCTTTTTTTTACAAACAGCACCCATGACCCCGAGCACTCTATTAATGCACAGCCCTTGCTATCTGCACAGCACTGCACGTGAGTTCGCTGAGAGAACCCTTAAAACCACCCAGGAAAGCATGTCGATGCCATTACAGTCCACTCTGCAGACGCCTGGTCTGTGGTCGACATAGTAGGCCTGGCCTGGAGCCACCCAGCGTGAGATTTCCCCCAGAGACACCCTGGCTGGTAGGCAAGCCTTTTCCAATTGCCAGGCTCAGCCAGCTCTCGCCACTTCTTCACGCAGCATAACAGCCACAAGAGGGAATGCCAGTCCTCTGCCCCATGGCCTAGGCCACGTACACCCTGGCACTGGATGGGGCAGAGAATTTATACTTCCTCCAACAACATTCCAGAGTCCTCTGGAGAAGCCCAGTACACATTCTAAGAGCATTTAGTTGCTGCCGAGGCAAGCTTTGGAAGGCATGCAAGGCAGTTTCTTTCAGGCTGGTCTCTCCCAAAGCCACGGTCACCAGCCTCTGTTCAGGGGCAGCCCTTTCACGTCGTCATACAGAAATCCTGGCTTGCTTCGCCAAGATACCTCCTCTTGGTGTATCTCAAGAAATCAAACCAAGCTACTGCCACCTTCATATTCAGATGTGATGTTACAGCATCTGCTGTCCTCCTAAGGAATGACCAGAGGACAGTGCTGATTGGCAAAGAGCCTGTGCTTTGGGCTGGGAGGGGTGGGGTGGGGGGGCTGATTACTGATTTTGTAGAGAAAGGGGGCACGGGGCTAGCTCCCTTCACATGCCACACTTCTGTGCAGAATGGGGCTCCTCACGGCCCACCAAATAGCTGCTGGGAGCCTGATTCCGCTGGAACACAAAGTGCCAGCTCCCTCATCAAGTTTTTGGTGGCGATGGGCTCCCCCAACCCCTGGAAATTGCCCACCCTGTTCTAAACAGGTAGGCAAACTAAAACAAGATAGAAGCAGCAAAGAATTCAGGAGCATAAGGTTTCAGCTTGGCTGTGGGGTGGATAATTTCTGCTCGGCATTTTGCCTCCCAGAGGCCCTAGAAGGAAATGAGGCTTGGGGGATGAGGAATAATTCTGACTCACCTCCTGCACGTTTGTTAATTCCAGTAGCTCTCCAAAGACATAAACCCCTGGAGCCTCCAGCACTTGGTTAATAAGGGCGGTCAGAGCTGATCCACTGGTGCCTTTGGCTAATAAAATAAACTGCTCAAGGAGATTACAGGATGGCTTCTGTTCCCCTGCCATTCTAGATCCTTTAACCTACAAAGGAGAAAGAGTGGATAACAGCTATTCAAACGCAGTAGAAAAACTAGGACAAGCAAACCTTGTTCCCCTCAGAAGGTCTAAACAATAGAATTTATCTGTACTCTTCCAGATTTACAGAAAGAACAAGGAAAAGAGCATTAATGCATTGGGCTATAATTCCTATATTACTAATGGGAAGCAATACAAAATATATCATGCCAGGACTCTTTTCAAGACATAACCTTATGCAAGTTTAGGCAGGAAAACAGCCCACAGCTCCCAGCATGCCCCAACCAACATTGTCTTTTTGAGAGTTGTAGGCTCTTTCCATCAGAACTTACATAGAACTGACCCTTAGGCCTTTCGACCATATCATGTTTGGTGCCAGCTATAGCTACACAATCATTTCAATCACAACACCCACTCAGCTTTATCTTATTCTTATCCTTGTATGCATTACTTCACATTGCAAAAAGTAGTCTTGAAGCAACCTGCACACACACAACACCAACATCCATGGTTGAGATAACAGTTAAAAACCCCACAATGAGAGTAAACTATAATCAGCTTAATTATAATTAAAATGCCACACAACATGATCTTAAATTATACATATGAAATATCCACAAGGAAGCTTAATCGTCAACCCACCAGCATTGCAAAGTTTTTGAATGTTTAAAAAAAAATCCTGGGGACCCTCCAAACGTCTGGGGGAGTAAGTGTGTGTTCGCCTGGCACAGAAAGTCGGAGTGCTGGTGCAGATGAGGTTCTCTGGAAGGAGCACTCCATAAAGATGGGCTCTCTCAGAAAACATCTGTTCCAACTTGACTCCGCCAAGCTTCTCTCAGGGGAGACACAGAGAGGGGGACCTCGGAGGCTGACCTTGGGGACTGGGCAGATTTATACAGGGAGGGGCAGGCCTGGAGGTCCCAAACAGGGGCAGCTTTAACACCAGTGCTTGGAATTTGTCCTGGAAACAAACCGGCAACCAGGGCAGGCAAACCAGAATTGGCTTTATATGCTCGCAGCACCTAATCTCAGTCAACAACCTGAGCGCCACCCTAGCTTCCTGCAACAATGATGGATCCAGGAGTAACCCAAGCTGCACACCTGCTCCTTTAAGGGGCATGTGACCCAATCGAGAAATGGATGCATTTCCCCTATCTGGACAGAGGAACCACTAACTGGCAGAGCCTCAATCTTGTCTGGATTGAACCTGAGGGTGTTGACCCTCCAGTTTACTGACTCCTAGCTTTGGCTAGAGAGTGGCAAATAAATAAATTCCATCACCTAAGCATGATGTCAGACTTAAGTCTTTCATGCTACAGATTTGGACAAAGGTACCCTGGCAGGGGAGAAAACATGCAAGATGGCAACCTAGATCGGTTATGGGGAAATTGTTAGCCAAGATCCAGGGAAGTGGCAGGTGCTGAAGCTGGGAAAAGATATGGGAGAAGAGACAACTGGGAACATTTGCAAAGGAAAGAAGTAATCTCGGAAGCCTTCCAAGGCAATTCCTTGCATTCCTAACATAAGGGGCAGAGTCCTTTATCTTCCCACTGTTCTTCTAATTCAAAATCTCATTTAAGTTAACATTTGAATGCTTGTAAGAGAGATAGAACCCAGCTTGTGAGCTGTGAATACAAAGGTGTAGGGGCCCTGATGCAGATAACCCAGATTAACTAGGTCCCAGTCCAACACTAGAATCCCTACAGTACACCTGATCCCCCTCAACACATACAGAGTAATTTCTAAATACCTTTTGAAACTACTAAACTGCTAGTCTAGGTTTCTCATATGTATGCACATATGTACAGATATGTGTGTAGATCTTTCCCTTTCACACATACAATCTAGGCAGCATCATTTCTTAAGCAATTTATAGAACCTGCTGCTGTATAGATGTAAGGAAAGAGGAAGAGCCCTGTGGGAGTAGGCCAAGGTCCATCTAATCCAGCATTCTGTGCTCACAGTGGCCAATCAGCTACCTAAATGTAAAAACCCCAAGTAGGGCAGGAGCGCAACATCACCCTCCGCCCATGTTCCCCAGCAGTGGGTACACATAGGCAGACTGTCTCCGATCCTGGAGGTGGCAGAAAGCTTTTGGGTATCTTTGTTGTTGTTAGTTGCACAGTCGCGTCCGACCCATCGCAACCCCATGGGCAACCCTCCTCCAGGCCTTCCTGTCCTCTGCCATCCCCCGGAGTCCACTCAAGCTCACACCGACTGCTTCATGACTCCATCTATTGTAGTTATTTATTTATTTAGGAAGCTTCTATGCCACCCCATTCGCCGAAGCCTCGGGGCGGCTCACAACCATAAATAAATAATCACAATATAAAAACAATACAATTTGAGTCGACCTGGCCAAGGATATAAAATAAATAATATTAACAATTAAAATGACGTTTAAATAAAAAGGTCTTTACCTGGCGCCGAAAAACAAATAACGACGGCGCCAGGCGGACCTCTCTGGGGAGCGCATTCCATAGATGGGGTGCCACC